CGCAGCTCTCATTCCCAGCCTGATCCCGCAGCCCCTCCAGGCCCAGCCCAGCCCCGCAGCCCCTCCCAGCCCCGGCCAGCGCCGCCGTGCAAAGGGAAGGTCCTTTATTCCTATTGCTGGTGACAAAATCCCGGTTGTACAACCAGAGCGGCTGGGCTGGGGGCGCAGGGGCCGCAGGAGGGAACCAGCCAACCTGGCAGCTCAGCACAGCAGGGCACGGCCGCGAGGAGGAGTGTCCGGAGGGGACAGCACAGAGCAGGTCCATGTGCCAGCAGCCCCAAGGCCACACTGTGAGAGATATAAATGTGTCCTGTAACAGCACTGAGATCCAGGCAGGTGGAGAGGGTGTTTGCTGGTGTTCGTTTTCTCCCTGCTGCAGAGGAAGAGGTGCTGACTCCACCAGGCTGCTGTCCCTTAGCCTTGTCTTCATCATAAAGCCATGGGGAGATGGCAGCGCTCCAGTCCAAGGGTCACAGCCAACAGCCAGCCACGCTCTGGGACAGGACAAGGCTGGGCAGCTCCATGGGACAGGACTGAGGGCAGAAGACTGGGAAACAGTTGAAGAGGATGTGATGAACACAGAGCTGAGAAGTAGAATTGCTACATCTGGACCTCACTTCTTCACCACGACCTTCCTCATGCATTTCTGACTCTTGAATACTTGTTTTATCCTTCCTGGACCCTCAGATAAGAGAACTAAACATTCCCAAGCACCAGAGAGGAGGCTGCTGCTTCTCGGCAGCAAGCCACATTGAAAATCCTCAGGAAAACACACTAAGGAAGACACTTCCTACCATAAACAGAGAACAAGGACAGCAGTACCCAGTCCATACAACAATAGATGACCTTCCTTCACGAGGTGCAATATGTGTGCCACAGTCAGTCATAAAAACAGCTCTCCAGGAAAGCTTGCTGCCATGGATCCAAAGCACTTGCCTCTAAAATGTGAAAAAGAGGTCCTGGTACTAAGAAGACTGGAAAGACTTTGTGGGTTTGGTCCCTTTCTTGTAAAAGCAGAACACAGTATGATCCCAATTCTTTTCTCTTTCCTACTCAGCACAACACAACCTGAGAGAAGCTGTCTGCACAGATACCTTCTCCCTTGCTCAAACTCCAGCCAACACTGAAAGCATTTCCCTTGCCTCCAGCAGCTGGCTAGGACTGACCATCCACCCAGCAAGGATGTGATCCCACTGGCATTTCTTCCTAGCTCACTGGCATGAGTAGCTTTGACCCATCATTAAAGCATCAGAGCACACACTCCAGAAGGAAGATGGTCTGCTAAAACATGTTCTGTTAAACCTTGTTAACCAAAGACATCATCCCTGCCACAAAGAAAAGACACTTTATAGGAAATGTCTAAGAGAAAAGAAACCCTAGAGAAGCAGCTAAAGTAGGGATAGAAATTTGGAAATCCCTGACTTTTTGGATTACAATCAACTTTTTTCAGTCCCTCTTATAGGGACTTTTTTTTCCTGCAGCATGCTTTTTGGGCAAAGACCTGATTTGGCAAAGCAAACAAATTCAACTAGAAACTGTGGGGTGCTACCTGCGAGTCTCCCGATATCCCTCCCGTTTTCCTTTTCTTATTGCTGAACAGCTGATACATTCACCGACGTGAAAGCAAACGCTCCAATGCTGTTTCCTCCAGGCCGCGGTGATGGCCAAGGACAGGAATTCCCTTTCCCACCGGCACCAAACACCGGGAACCGCTAGATGGAGCGCGCGGCCCGGCGGAGTCTGCGCCCGCTCAGCCGCTCGCTCCCTTCGAAGAATCGTTACAGTGACATGGGAAACAGATGGGGATCATCACACTCCCAAGAAACTCAAGAGGTTGCTTCATATAGCAAGTGTGATAGAAGTAACATTTAAAGGCACCTGGATTTATACTACATACAAAATTCAGCTCGATATGCTAAAGTTTCCCAGGGGATAACTAGCAGGCTCTTCAGATGCTATTTGTGACCACTGCAGGATGAAAAACAAACTTCCAGGCAGTTCTGCCCTGTGGCAAGTAACTTCCTGCAAAACAAACGTTTCCCACCTCACTGGCACAGCACGAGGCCTGCTGAAGACATTCACTGCAAGAGGCATCTCTAGCTCCACCTCACCAGCAGCTTTAATCCTGGAATAACTAAACAAGATTGCCTGTGTGCTTGTGGAGATGCTGGAGGGGATTGATGGCAGCAGAATTGCTCTTCATCTTTCAACCAGGCAAACCTTGCTGCTCCACATTCCCAAGACATTTGTTGTGGTTGCTTATGATTAATGCTCCACCCAGAACAGGTCATTTGTTGTGGTTAATCATAATTAAGATCTCCCCAAGAGCTGGAGATTCTTTCATGGCTGCCATCCCACACACTCTCACTTCTTACCCTGCTGCCAGCTGATCTTCCATGCCAAAGTTCCTATCATTAATCTGAGAGGTAAAGGCAGTGGTTTCCTATTGCTGTCCATGCATTAACAGGCTCTGGTCTGTGGTGCCCACCCTGCTCAATCCTGCTAAAACATAAACCTATGCTGAATCTCACTTAACACAACAGGTCACCACTGAAGAGTTAGGTTCCAACTGCCTCAAGAACAAATAGAACTAATATTAGGAAAGGTCTCTAGTCTACACACAACCTAACTCCCATGTACAAGAGACAACTGAGCAGCCCAATGAGAGGACAGGAAAAGTGCCAGTCTTGAGAGCCAGCAAACCTGGCAGAAAAGGGTTTTGATGGCTGAGATCTTGCAAGGTCAGGAGCTGGGCCCCAGCATGGCTACTGGCAAGACACAAGATACCACCTCCCCCTGCAAGATGCTAGCTCCCATCACCAGATCCCAAACACAGCTGTGAAACACCCTCTGCTCTGGCCCTACCTCGGCAGAACAACTTCCTAAACCATAAATAAACAGCTGAGTAGGCAAAGCAGTGATAGGAATTCACACAATTAAAAAGATAATCATGTGCATTCTCACTTTCCAAGAATGCCACTGCATAACACTGAGTGATCTGAAGCTTTTAGCTGCTAATTACCTCAAGTGAAACAAAGCAGATGAGCTGGTGCTCCTCACAGCACCTCTGACAAATCATTCGGTTCAAAAGTATAGAAGAGACTGAAGCCTAGGAAGCTCTGCTTTCTACACATTTTTCAAGTGATTTTCCACATTCTCCCTTTTTCCTCTAAGCCTCTCTAGACTGAGACCTCCCCTCCACCCCAGCCAGGCTGACCATGTGCTGTCCATCTACAAAGCAACACATTCTGTAGCAAGAGCCAAAATTCCTACACAAAGGGAAGCAGGAGAAAAAGTAAATAGTGAGATTACTTTCAGCTCTAAGCTTGACCCCAGAGCTTCAAACTGCAACAATTTGCTCACAAAACCTCAAACAGAAATGCTATCAGACTGATAGTTCCTTTTTTCTCCTATCTCATATCTCTAGTGAATTCTCTGGCAAAACACAGATTAAACTGTTCTCAGAGGCAGCTCAGGCCCCTGGAGGCGGATGAAGATTCCTGCACTATTTAGAAGCTGAATTAGTCTCTTATTTTATCTTCCCCACTGGACAATATTGGGATGCACCCTAAAAAGCAATGTCAGCCACGCTACAAACAAAACCACTGTGCACTAAAGAGATGATCTATCCAAACAAAGAAGAGATCTGCTCTTCAGGCATCACTGGCTACTTGAAGGGAGAAGATTTTCCTGCTAAGAAACAGCTTACACAAACAATTGGACCTCTTGAAAGAGGAGATCACCCAAGAGGTGAAACATCAGAAGCACTAAAGGTGCAACCTAACTATAAAGACTAAGAGCAGGAATTGTCTAAGAGTATCTCTGATCCATGGCCTAAACAAAGTAACAGAAGGTAGCCAGAAACAGAGAAGAGGCAGGATACACTGAGTGTCACATAGAGAAGTGTTGCAGGGAGATTTCCTTTCGGAGCTGTAGTCTTTGCTTCACGTCCTCTGCCTCACGCACCGAGAAAAGGTTTGGCAAGAAGCCTTGTTGCATGAGACAGCAACTCCAGTCCACTCCTGCACATCTGGAATGGTTAACAGCATCACAGCATCCAGCAGACAGAATGATTACTGTCCTCCATTGTAAGCATAGTCAGCCTTGTTGTGCATTATCAACTTGTTGTCCACAAAGTAAAAGCTGTCCGAGCGCGTCTCGTAGGGATTTTCAACCATCAGACGGACTGCGAGAGAGAAAGCTCCATTACAGCCAACAGCCTGCCACACTCCACTGCAAAGCTCAGAGTCAGGACAAAAGGGGCTCTGCCATTCCACTGCATTTACCAGGCTGATGCTCTGCCCTACCCAAGGACTACAAGCAAACTGCTCTGCTGAACAGATTTCAAAAGCTCTGTCCTGCCCTTTCCCCTCACCCTATTCACAGGACAAGTGCTGTCAAAAGCAAACAAAGGGGGATAAAGTAATCTCACTCAAAACAACCTTAAAAACCATCAGAGCCATAACTGGAGCAGAGCAGCCACCACGTCAGTAAGCAGAGATAGCAATCCACAGAGGAGAACGTGGTGGCACTGCCCACAGGGGCACAGGCAGGGCACAAACCCTGAGCCTCCTCCTGCAGCCAAGCGGCCCCAGAAGGGCCCACGTGCTCCTGCTCTGTCCACCCCCTGAGGTCAAACATACCCTGCACAATGTGTATTTGCAGAGGCTTTAGTAGGCTCAAATACACACCTCTCGGGGAGAGCTAGCTCTGTTCCAAAGCAGGAGGCTCAAGCCCTAACAAGTAAGTGCTGAAAGCACATGGGTGGCTACCAAGGGAACCTTTTTACAGCTTTTGTTTTCTTCTCCAAGGCATCAGGCATGTCAGCCCTGTGACTCTGATCAGTCCTTGCAGCGTGTAACTTAGCACAGGTCGTCTTAGGTTTTCATTTTCAGAGGAGACTTTGCAGCACAAATCTGTAATTCAGTCAAGATTACACACTGCTTAAACCAGGAACCTGTATGTTTGTTCCAGCTTCCTCCATCCCAGTCACAGCTTCTTTCACAGGTAGAGATAGGGAGAAAATGAGCACATGCACACACACAAACAAACCACCACTCGGTGTGGCAAAGGAGGTACTTACTAAGGTCTTCTGAGAGCTGAGGGAATTCATAGATGTGTTCACACGTGTTCCTGCTACAGGGGATGCAGAAGCCAAAGTCAAAGTCAAAATTCTTCAGCAAACGATCTCGGAAGTAATGTCTCTCAATCATTCGGAAGTTTGACACTGGCTTTTCTCCCACTGTGAATTCCACTCTGCATGCAAAAAGTAGGAAAAAACAGCTACGATGATATAACTCTCTTCCTATTGGGAAGAACAGAGAGAGCCTTAGACTTGAGGCTATACAAGAGTCCAACAGATCATTCCAAAAAGAAAGAGATATGGGCTCTCCCTAGCTGTTGTTTCAGTTTTGCTTCAAACTTTAGAAGCTCCAATTCTCCCTTCTTTCCATGACCCCATACTCACGTTGCACCAACAGTGCGGAGCTGGAGGAACGCTGGGGTGAACTGGTAACGAACAAAGCGACCTGCACTGGTGTCCAGTTCACTGCTGTCATCTTCATCCTCTTCATCGTGCTCTGGAAAATCCACCAGCTTAGAGTCACTCTGCTAATAGTGCACACGTAAGGCAACGCAGGCTAGTGGTGAATCAGGACAAGGAGGCTGTTACTGATGCACCGAACGTAAACATGTTTAACGACTGGGCTGAGGCTTACTCTGGCACTAAGTACAAAAGAGAAGATCTGCTGTGACAGTCTGTGCAGCCTTGGTGGCTCCAGAAGATCTGTCTCACAGGATATTCCCCCTCACAACTGCCAAAGCATATGAATGAAACTCTGTACCACAACCAGCCAAAAAGGGGAGACTTGCAGTTGGCAGCACTGCCCCATCTCACTATAATCATATAAACTCAATCCTATGCTTAAAGGAGAGTGATGTAGTCACCAGGACAAATCAAAGGGCCTTTCAGCTGGGTTTGCATGGGTCCTGCACGACAACTGCTCAGCTCTCTGAGTCTCTACCCTCCCTGCGATGTGAGCATGATGTACCTGAAGCAGATGGCTTTGCAATTTCAAACAGCACTGTTCCAGTTTCTAGGTCCCGGATCTTAAACCTGGTGAAGTCAATGTTGTAAATGTTGTCCTCAGGTTTGCATAAATAATCTAGAACGGGGAGAAAACATATAGTAACACTTTAAGACACCTCCGACCAATTACCAAATCAATTTCCTTTTTCGTTAACCCCCGCCTCGTTGTTTTGCAGAAGCTTCATGAAAGCAGGGCAGAACTAAGGGGAGAAGAAACAAAGGCTCGCTGGGTGCCAGGTAGCAAGGTGAGAAAGGGATGGGATCAGGACAGAAAAGAAGACATCGGCAGACCAGAGGAAAAACAAAACAAAACAAAACAAACAAACAAAAAAAAAAACCCAAACAAACGGACCAAAAAAATAAAAACCCCACGAATAAAAAAAAAAAACCCGAACATCCCAAACTTTCTGGAAGTTGTAAGGAAGCA